ACGATAACCACTTTGCTAAATCTGGGGAAATTGCACTAAAAGAGAGCGAACCCAAATAAATGTTCTCTGCCACTGTAACTTGTTGCTACCTGTGTTTGCTGTTATGCGAGTTATTACCGATCTTATATGAGTAAAACTTTGTTTGTTTTTACCTGTGCCTCACTAATAACTTGTCGGCTAATTTTTAGTATATGAAATTATGTTAATTTTACAGTCGTTACTGTTGTGTTTTCCAAGTTATGCTGTTTATTGTTTCATTCTACTCTGACATTTCCGTTATCGATTACGCATATCGGTATTGGTATTTGTGTAGACAATTTTGCCATTTCTTCCTCGTAAAGAGGCGAACATCAAACATGACTGATGCAGTGTATTGGAATAACGCTCTACATTAGCATGATTATTGTCATGTTCTGCTAAAATAACGTCTGAAGTTTGAATTAGCAGTTAAGCAGATTTATGACAAAATCCTCAAACTTGTTTCTGCAACTGATCAGTTTCTGAGAAGCTGCTTTACATTTCTGATCAGTTGCTGCCTGCCGTCTTTTTGATTAAGATCGCCCAGATCTGTTGACGGAAGGACGAAAGACTGCAGATATAAAAGCGACGAGATTAAATCATGCGAACGCGTAAAACACGAAACTAAAAAAATGTGTAAGCAAGTTTAGACAATACCTACGGATCGAGGTATGTCCGCGGGTGTTCGAACATGTTTTTTTTCGAACCAACAGTATGCTGTTGTTTTGCAGCCATTAACCGTAGGTGCTAAAATACCAGAGAGCTGTAGCTTGCTTAAATGGTCCCATAGGCAACTAGGAGCAAGGAGACGATGTGACTATACCGTGTAAATCTGAGGAAGTGACTGGAAGTTTAAGCAATATTTTACGATCATATGAATAAATCTGTCATCCGACCCGACATTACCTACCGAAGGCACCCAGCCTTGTTTCATTGAAGGCGATCAAAAGTACTGGCTTCCATTCTTTGGTAGCCTGTAAGCATTGCCATGCTTTTCTTGACTACACCCAACCACCGCGAGTAAGAGAGTGTACTCTCACATCTGCCCATCTCCCAAATTTCTGCTTTATGTCTTTTCCGATTAAGAATATTGTACAGTAAAGTGACCATTGGACGTTCGGTTTGTGTCTACGCCTGTAGGGGCATTCTTGCCTCACCTACTCGCAAAAGTATTTCCGGTATTTCTGAGTCGATATACAACAAGTATTTCCAGAGTCATTACAAATACAAGAAATCTTTTTAAAAAAATAATACATTACGAAAGATTCCGGCGTTATGCAGATGTTCGCGGTGCAGCGCTCGATCCGCTTCAGCATCCGACTAAGTTTCGGAACAATCAGCTGGCGGTAATATTGTATTGTAGGCCACCAGACGAAAATTCCTATCACCTTTTTGAGCGTGTTCGTTCACGCGCCATCGTTGGATGACGTTCTCAGAAATTTTGGTCGCCGGTTATTACGGAAAGTCATACGAAGTCATGGGTTTTTGCAATTGTCAAGTAAGGGGTCAAAACGCGAAAAAAATCACAACTGATGATTGAACGATGACGTATTACCTCAGAATGCGTCAGTATTGCAAGATCACAACAGATACACCGCTGTGCGAGTTTGCAGTTCATCGTGATAATACGAATATCAACTCGTGACTACATATTCACCGATAGCTTTATGAATCACAAACGTGCTCGAGGGAACTGGGGTGCATTGATGTGTAGAGGGCGAAGGCCCATTTTCCTTGGTGACTTTGCGCATTGTCCTGTTTTCATCGTTTGAACGCAGTATCACAGTTTGTCGCTCTTGTATGATTCTCAACCTGTTCTTGAATTTTGTTTTATTGGAAGTAACAACGAATCGCTGCTTTATACTGTGCTTCCTGTACCAATCAAGGTAGGCGATTTGACTTGTGCGAGGCACCTTGTGTTAGCACTTTCTGATCGCGGGTGGAAGATAGCTTAATAAATTCGACCAGTTTATCAAGCGACAGCTGACAGGCGAAATTCATCGTATTATAACTTCAACAATATAGTTGACGCCCAGCCCATGGCGTTGAAAATCGAAAACGTGTTGGTTTGCTCGATTGGCGATTTGCTTTCATTAAGTGGAATGGTACCGAAGGAAAGGCTAATACATGGAATAAATTTTAATTACAGCTGCATAACATATTTGTTCTGAACCGATGTACAATTCTTGCCGAATCATGTGCTTGCCCGAAATTTCATCGGTCATTGAAACAGTTTGGCTTTCTTCCATCCGATAGGATGCGAAGTTGCTCCTTACGAAAAATTATTTCATGTCTCAGCAGAGTTCTTC